TGAAATGATGATGATGAATGCCTATTATTCTTAGATATTTTGCTGAATTTCCTAAAATTGTCTTATAAACTGGCTGTTTTTCCCCCTTTGTGTGAAGTTTTGGGTGCGGTTCAGTGCACCTTCCTTTATTCGCAGTTCACTGCAATAATGCCAATTTGTATTCCGCTGGCAGGTTGAGAAATGAAAAATCTGTGTCGGAGGCCGCATTTACATAGAAACTGGGGTAAACAAAACTTCCCAGTTTCCCTTTGACTGAAACCGAAATTGTGCACGAACCATTTAAGCTTCTAGTGATGGGTATTTTGCTGAAATATTTTGAAGCGATTTTTAAATTCATGGAAGATCGAGATCCTATCGAGCAGTGAGATCGGCTAAAAACGACGCAAAATTGAGCGCACGATACTTGGTTGATATTATTTTATGAAAAAGTAAGGCCCGGTTTCCAACGGAGAAATCATTAATCACGGAGATTTCTATTGGTTTCGAAATCTGATTGGTTATTCTCTCAAAAAACTTCTCCGCTTCGCTCCGCTCTACTCCACCTTGGTGGAAACCGGGTTAACCGGACTTTATACAAACAATTTACTCTTAAGTTTCGGCCAAACCAACGCATGCAGCTTGCGTGCGCGATGGCGATGTCGTGCACAGATAAGAGAGTATGATGTCGTGTATGAATTTGTAGGGATGAGTTCACACTTCACATCAACGTATCCTGTCATTGGTCGCGACCACAGATATGGATTAGAGTAGATACAGCAAGTTGATCGTCAAAGCGTGTCATTCCGATATGTCCAAATGGACATACATGGTCGAGTGATGTTCATGTAGTCCGATTACAACAATCGGTTACGATGATTTTACGAGGACAGTAGTACGAACACGGTAGAAAGAAGAAATTATTTACGGATTGAGAATTGTAATTAACAGCACAAGTAACAAATAATTTTATTAATTAGAATAAAGTAGCAGTAGAAGAAGTCTAAAGTAGCATTGTTTTTAATACATATCCTGCGATGTACTCTTACCATGGTCCCTGTATGTGGTGCAGTCATACCGATCCCAAGGAACCGTACTTACTCATAACAATAAGACACACACTGATCCATGTATTCATGCACTTGACAAATTTATGTCTTGAAACGCTGGTAGGGTAAAAAAAATAACGATCATCATCATCATCATCATCATTTCAGCCACATGACGTCCACTGCTGAACATAGGCCTCCCCCAATGACTTTCACATCGCACGGTTGGTAGTAGCTTGCATCCAGCGCCTTCCTGCTACCTTTATCAGGTCGTCGGGCCAGCTTGCTGCTCCATCGGCCGTCAGTTCTGCGTACTATGTGCCCTGCCCATTGCCACTTCAGCTTGCTAATCCATCGGGCTATGTCAGTGACTTTAGTTCGTTTAGGGATATTATCCTCATTTCTGATTTGATTTCGTAAAGAAACACTGATCATAGCCCTTTCCATAGCACGCTGTGCAACTTTGAGAACGATCCTTGTCTCTGGTAAATTAAAAAGAGTCGTCTTCTCAAAAGAGAGGTACTACTTTCAAGGAACTCAGGTAAGTACAATGACATGCCATTTACAAGTAACGAGAAACTTGAATTTGAAACGTCATGTTTTAAAACGAAAATTGATACAAGATCAAAACATTTCAAGCTTTTCACACATAACTCGCAAAATTCCAATCCAAAATAATATTCAGATGAGTTATCGCCCGAATTTCCCGTGAATTTTGTAGCAAATTCCGATATCCTATTGCAGGGATAGCGAACCTTTTATCAACGTGCCACTTTTCTAAGAAAATGTTTGATATAGTCTGTCATAGTTCATCACCATCATCATCATTTCAGCCATAGGACGTCCACTGCTGAGCATAGGCAGCAGATAGCAAGAAGGCGCTGGATGCAGGCCGCTCGAACCGGTCATTATGAAAGTCATTGGGGAAGCCTATGTTCAGCAGTGGACGTTCTTTGGCTGAAATGATAAATTTTGTGATTGGTGACATGCCCTAATATTTTAGCGCGTGCCATTGGTTCACCATCCCTGTCCTATTGGAGCCGTTCAAATATGTAGATATATTTCCGCCTGTTGCATACGATAATACTAATTCGCGATGTATCGTGTGCTAACAGCTCTTAGCGTGATTGCAAAACGCGAACAAATAGACAATTCGCAATATCCGCTTTGTCAAAACCATGTTGCTAAAGGTAAATCAATTTCAGTAGCACAAAGCTTTGATGGTTTAACAGGATGCATTCTGAGAACTTGATGTAGGTAATTCTCATTCCTAGGCAGGGGATGACATCCGGCGAGTGGCGACAAGCTGAAATAAACTGGATGCAAGTGGGAGACAGAAGTCGGTGAAAGATTGAAGAGGCCCATGTTCGAAGACGAACCCCAAAGGCTATTATAGATAGATAGATTTTTCTGATTCGTACCGCCTATGTTCATCAGAAATAATTTAGGATTCTACTGGGGTAACAATTTTTCAAATTAGTCTAGTAGTTTCGGAGACTATTTGGTAATTTAAATTTGGTAATAAAAAAAAATAAATAAAAAATTACCTACAAACAAACAAACAAATCTTTCCTCTTTATAATATTGTACCTACCTACATTATTTAATAACTTTCGCTATTATAAATTACTTACTTACTTTTCTGTTACATTACTTTTTTAAAACACAAGCATAATAATATAACTACAAAGAAATGTAAATGTGCTGTAGAAAATAAATGAAACTTCTCAGTAAATATGAAACGCCAGTCCCGCATTGGGAAGCAATTATTCGCGCCGCGTCGATTAATTTCCTGCTCTAGAAGGCGTGCATTTGAAGATGCGACGTCGATTACCAATGTAGACGTGGACGTGACGACGAATCTCGCTTGATCGTGTGAGATTTTTGAAACGTATTTTCAGAGCAGTAGAATTTCAATTTGCATGCGTTCAATATAAATCGTTTAAAAAATATACTCACACCCTGACAAGTAAAAATTGCATAGTATAGTTCTTCTGGAGTCCTATCGCTATTTTCTTCTTTTGCTTATTTTCTAAGAATGTGATAAGGTATCTAACACTAATTTAGGTTTTCAGAGCTAATGGATTGTGCCTCTAAAAGATTAATAACTAGCTTACTAATGTTGCTATTTGTTCAATTTTTATCTAGTTTGCACTTTAATCAGTTCAGACCAACCCATTTACCAAAATGGATCATTCGAACCACTACGTACTACATAGTATACGACTGTCGAGTACTATTCCTTTGAACGATCTTCTACTCGAACGAAACGTTTACCAACATCCATTCGTACATGTAATTCCATTTTCGTTCTTGCACTCAAATTCGCGCGCAAACTGATGAGAGAGCACGGCGCTTTTAGCTTTTGCTTAATTAACGCTGCAACCGCCCAATTAGTGAATGGCTGATGCGATGGATACACGACGTTTGTTTGCAATACCTAAAGCACATTCAACGGTAAATTACCTGTTTATTTAGTTGAAATGGTTACTTACAGGTTTTTTTGGCGGGCTTTTGAACGCACTAGGCGCGATTTTTGAAGCCAATTTTGTATTTTTCTCTTTTTGTGATAAAAATAGTTATCTATCTATTCGAAGTCGTTAAGTCAACTTAAAACTCGACTATGCCGGACGGGGACGGTAAGGACCCGCCCAGGGGCAAGGAAAAAAGGAAGGCACCAAATAGAGATCACACCTATACGAGTGCAGATGAAGATTTCTACAAACCGTACGTAAAACCAGGGTATAGAAGGCTATTCGCGGAGAACACGGTGAGTGGCGAGTTTTCTGTATTTGTGGAAAGCACGAAAGAGAATGAGAAGATCGGGAACAACAATCCCATTCTGACTACCAACCTTTTCAAAAATGAAATCAAGGGCATTACCAATCTTAAAAGAATTAACGCCAATAAAATATGTGTCACATTTTCCCAGTCTAGTAATGCCAATAACTTCCTGAAAAACGATCCCTTCCTAACCAAACACCAACTCAAGGCATACATCCCAGCCACAGCAGTAGAAACAGTCGGCGTGCTTCGCTTTGTACCCACTAGTATCAGCAATGAGGAACTTTTTAAGAAACTCTCGTCATCTTACGAGATCATAGGTGTACGTAGGTTCACCAAAAAAGACAACGGCGAATTAAGGGTAAGTAATTAAAGGCAAGTATAATTAGCTGTTATATTAGCCATAATGTAAGTGGGAAAGTTAATTATTGTTTCCCAAATCAATTGTCAGTATTAGGTTCTTCTGGCAATTAAATGTTGATTGTTATTTCTGGACGCAATAGGCATTCTATTAAAGAATTTGCCCAAAGTAGCTATTTGAAATAACGCTCCAACCGGGGGTAATTCTGATAATCAAGATTAATTCCTAATGTATGTGCTCTAGACGAGGCAGCATGCCTCGTGCTGTGAGTGGGGAATATCAAGGTGTCAATATCACAAGCCTGCAATGTTAATTGAACTAAACTTGTGACTAAACTAAGTGCTCGGTGTTAGAGCGGTAAACAATTTCGTAAGCAACACTTTGCACAAAATGCTTGTACATGACATAAATTGTCAAAACAATACCAAGATTGATTGTTGTGAACTTGGGCGCGATGTCGTGATTAAATTGAATATTTGTATGCATAATATTTGAATGCTTATAAGGAAGGTTTGAACAATGTGTGTAATAATTACACTAACAAATGACAGTAAAATGGCTAATTTCTCAATATTTTAAATTTTTTGGAAACCATAATATCTGATTATGTTTCCAATATGNAATGCGTACCTAAAGTAGTCAAAACCTCTCCCAATATAATGAAAAAGCCTGTACCTTGGTGGGATGATGAGTGTAATAGTGCAGTTAAAAAGAGTAAAGATGCTTTAAATTTTTATAGACGTAATCCAAGCATTGACAACTACATTGCATATAAAAAATTGGATGCTGCTAAAAAACTAACTCTTAAGGAAAAAAAGAAAACTGGATGGAAATCTTTATGTGAATCTTTTAATAGATATACTCCTGTTAGTACAGTATGGAACTATATGAAGAGGTTTAAGCGTGTTTCAATTCCCAAACTGCCGAAGAATGATGAATGGATTCCCTCTTTTTTTGAGAAATATTCTCCTCTATCTCCTCCTGAAAAACAAGTAAATAATTCATTATTGCAAACATATTTCTCTCAAATTGGTGATGAAAAAGCAGCTTTTTTGTCTCAACATTTTTCTTGGGAAGAGTTTATGACTGCTCTGCAGTCTCGTAGGAACACTACTCCTGGTTTAGACAATATTCCTTATGAAGTTATTCGTCGCCTACATATTAATGCCAAAAAACTTTTACTCTACATTTTTAATTTACTATGGCAAACACAGGTCATCCCAGACTCATGGAAGACTCAATGTGTCATTCCTATACTTAAACCAGATAAGCCTCCTGATGACTGTAACTCTTATCGACCAATTTCTCTGTCNATTTGATTAATATTAGAGACAAATGTGTACCTAAAGTAGTCAAAACCTCTCCCAATTTAATGAAAAAGCCTGTACCTTGGTGGGATGATGAGTGTAATAGTGCAGTTAAAAAAAGTAAAGATGCTTTAAATTTTTATAGACGTAATCCAAGCATTGACAACTACATTGCGTATAAAAAATTAGATGCTGCTAAAAAACTAACTCTTAAGGAAAAAAAGAAAACAGGTTGGAAATCTTTATGTGAATCTTTTAATCGATATACTCCTGTTAGTACAGTATGGAACTATATGAAGAGGTTTAAGCGTGTTTCAATTCCTAAACTGCCGAAGAATGATGAATGGATTCCCTCTTTTTTTGAGAAATATTCCCCTGTATCTCCTCCTGAAAAAGAAGTAAATAATTCATTATTGCAAGCATATTTCTGTCAAATTGGTAACGAAAAAGCAGCTTTTTTATCTCAACATTTTTCTTGGGAAGAGTTTATGACTGCCTTGAAGTCTCGTAGGAACACTACACCTGGTTTAGACAATATTCCTTATGAACTTATTCGTCGCCTACATAGTAATGCCAAAAAACTTTTACTGTACATTTTTAATTTACTATGGCAAACACAGGTCATCCCAGACTCATGGAAGACTCAATGTGTCATTCCTATACTTAAACCAGATAAGCCTCCTGATGACTGTAACTCTTATCGACCAATTTCTCTGTCTTCATGTATAGGTAAAGTATTTGAGTGCATGTTAAAGACAAGATTAGATTATTATGTCGAATCAAATAATATCTTACCAAATGAACAATTCGGATTTAGGAAAGGCCGAAGTGCAGCAGAAAGTTTTACAGCATTGGTCTCAGATGTTAGGAATTCTCTTGACGGTCACTCTGCAACAGCTTGTGTCTTCCTTGATGTACAGGGCGCGTTCGATAACGTGGTCCCCTCAATTTTAATAGCCATCTTATGTGATATTGGAGTACCCGGGGTAGTCTGTAAATGGATTTTCAATTTTTTGTATAAAAGAATAATGTATATAAAATTTAATAACATTTTTCATGGACCCGGATATGTATATAAAGGCACAATGCAGGGCGCTACGATCTCGCCATTATTGTACAATTTATACACTAGTCAAATTAATAAGTATTTAACACAAAGGGATATAAAATTTTTACAATTTGCTGATGATTTATTAATTTATACTGTAAATACTGGTGAACGTCAGAATGGCGGGTGTATGATCACAGAAATGAATAGAATAAATATAATTAATTAATACCTGAGGTGTACCTTGGTGTACCTTTAGTTATTTATTTTGTACTTCCCTAAGACGGGAACAATTACGATTACAAAATGAGCCGCCAACCTGATATCAGGTTGGCGGGTGTATGCTGAAATTGGACGAAACAGGTAAGATATGGTATTCTAATATTTATAATTATTTAGTACCTGAGATGTACCTCACAAATATATTAATACGAACCAAATGCGACGAATAATTAACGAGAAAATTGATACGAAAAATTTGATATCCACCATTTTCTTGATGGCCACCATTTTTTATAAGAAGTTAGAAAGTTGATACTGACACAGATAATACATACCGTAGTATTTTTAAAGTTTGTTTTTTTATGGCACGCACACTTGTGAATTTGCCAATACCATTAATTTGCTAAAATCAAAAAGTATTGATAGCAGCGCCCTCCTGTAAATGACATAAATAAGGTTGTCCAACGTGGCAAAAATCGGAACTAATAATCGGGACATCGTCTTCTTCTTCTAATTTTATTCTCTTCTTCTTTTCGTCTAAAGTCCGATTTTAAATTCGACGGAATTCTGACAGCTGTCATTTTTTGAAAATTCAGATGTATTAAGCCTTTTTTGCTTTGAATTAATAATAAATAATATGAAATGAAATTTCATCAAGTACAACTTTTAAGAATGAACTATTGTTTGTTTTGTGAATTCAATGTTCACTAATTATTATGTACATTTTAGAGACTAAATAGAAAAAAAAAACGTGTTTTTAACACAGAAAAACGATATATTAACATAAACGAAAATATGTATTAATCATCAATGATCATTATCGTCATCTTAGTCAACTTGGATTATAAAATTGGCATCTTGTTAAATTGACTATTTTATGAAGCTAAATTTTATTAACAAAAGGATTTTCATAAAAAAGGTTTGTAACCCATGGATTATTGGCCAGGGAGTCCAGTAATAGAAAAATAATTTCCCATTTTTTTTTGTAACTTCAAAAATAAATGATAATAAAAATTCAAATGACCAATTCAAGAAAGGATTATTTTTTAATTTGTGAAAATACTCTCCATTCTTAGTGGGAATGTTTCAATGTTGACAACACTTCTGAAATGTCAAAATTCCGTGGAATTAAAAATCAGAGTATAGTAGCAAATTAATGGTATTGGCAAATTCACAAGTGTGCGTGTCATAAAAACAGACTTTAAAAATTCTACGGTATGTATTATCTGTGTCGGTATCAACTTTCTAACATCCTATAAAAAATGGTGGCCATCAAGAAAATGGTGGATATCAAATTTTTCGTATCGATTTTCTCGTTAATTATTCGTCGCATTTGGTTCGTATTAATATATTTGTGAGGTACATTTCAGGTACTAAATAATGATAAATATTAGAATACCATAACTTATCTGTTTCGTCCAATTTCAGCATACACCCGCCAACCTGATATCAGGTTGGCGGCTCATTTTGTAATCGTAATTGTTCCCGTCTTAGGGAAGTACAAAATAAATAACTAAAGGTACACCAAGGTACACCTCAGGTATTAATTAATCATATTTATTTTATTCATTTCTGTGATCATACACCCGCCATTCTGACGTTCACAAATACTGCTGTGCACAGTTTAAACCTAGCTTTAGTTGAAATTCATAATTTTTATTCTGGTAAATTAAAACTTGATATTAGTCCCAATAAGAGCGGCGTTATGTTATTCTCGAAAAAATATAATGAGTGTAATTCTAATATTTATTATAATAATAATCCTCTTCCATGGATTCAGGAAAAAAAGTTTTTANATACTTTTGTGGTTTCAACTCTGGGAACTATTTGAGAAATTGAGAAGAGTAAAAACTAAGTAAATATCAGTGAATCACAGTGAATCAGTGAAGTGAAGTGTCAAACAATCCCTAACTGTGTGTCAAACACAGTTGTCATGTGTCAAATTCAAACAAAAGTTCAACGGACTTCAAAGACTGGCTTAAAAGGGCATGCACCCAGAGCCGTGAAAAACTATATTAAAAAAAAAAAAAAGCATCACTAATGTGTCAGTGTCACTGTCAAATTTTTTAGGTTATTTTCTTTCACTCATGCTGTATTGATTGTATTTTCTTTGCTCATGCCTTATTTTTGTTGTTCAAGACTTGATGATTGGTGTTGGTGAATAAAGCGAAAAGTATTACATAGAAAAAGGGATTCGCTTAAGTAGAATTTACCATTCATAGCACAGTTCACAAGGGTTATTAAACAACACTGTAGCTCGATCTTGGTCAATTTCTAAGGAGTCTAATATTCAACCATTATCATGGCTGAAGAGGCGCCTCAAGAGAAGAAAGCTCCTATGACAGACGAAGAGAGGCTTGCGTTATGTCAGAAGCTTGATCAGGAACTCGACGACTTCATAAACAGCTTAGAAAAGAAGAGGTATACAGAAGGATGGCCAGAAGACCGATGGGAGGTTAGACTATACAATAATCCTTCTTCTTTCTTAATTTTTGGATATTACGACCCACAGATTAAGCTCCCCATTGAATCACATTAGTTTCTATCTACATGGTTGAAAAAATAAAAGCCTAATGCCCGTTTTCACCATTAATCCCTAGTTTTTAAGTGAGCCCTATGAAAACAAAATTCCTGTTATGTGTTACCATAGGGGTAGGGTTGCCACATGTTTGGCTTTTTACGGTCTTGTCCGGCCAAATATTGTGTTGTCCGGCCTGTCCGGTAAAATGTCCGGCCAAATTTTAAAAAGATTAGATTTCCAACACAAATTCTTTATCAAATTAGTGGCCTTCTTTCAGTTAGGAAGTTGTATGTGCTTCACACAGTTTTGAGAAAGCACAAATCCATGCCTTTTAACCCTGACTTCACCAATAGGAGGAAAGATATTGTTGCACATGCTCCTAGATTTAAAACCTTCTTTGCAAAAAAGCAATATGATAGGCGTTCTGTGTATCTCTATAATTTACTTAATAAGGAGATTAATATTTATGACAAAAATTACTTCGAGTGCAAGAAACTTTTAATAAAATGGCTGAAGCCAAAATCTTATGACGACATTGAGACAATCTTAAACTAAACTAATAAAATATAAATAAAAATAAAACACACATGTACACATTCACACATTCACACATACACTCACTCACTCACATACACACACACACACACACACACACACACACACACACACATACACTCACTCACTCCGCGCGCGCCATCCCCCTTACTTTGTTACTACAGATATGTTACTTAGTATACCTAGTTGATATTATACCTTGATTTTTTAGAATCCAGCAGAGATGTAAACAAACACTTTCATACACAATTACACCATAATCACTTACGTGTTCATAATATCATACACATTATTTAACAAGCCCATGAAACCAACTTTATTTTCACGTTTATACAAGTTTGAAATCAATCTTTGAAACAAATTATTTTAGCAAAATACGTGGACGATGAAAATTTGTGAGACATGTCAAATTGACTTGACGTTTAAAATCATGTGTTATCTCCATATTGTCTATGACTTGTCTCTGACACATCAGTGCCGTAACCTGTGAGTCATAGATTATTAATTTCCCATATTTCGGGTAATTTTCCCACGTAAATAACTGAGAACACTGGTCTTTGACGTATTATTTTTTCGAGTGAATGACGTTTGATTTCAATTAATTTCAATATTTTAATGTCGGGAAATAAGTGATTGGATTATTATTTTGCCTGTGAACTGTGATTCCTTAATTTTTGTTTGTTCGAACAGAACGGTTTTTACACAATTTCATCACACAAGACATGTCGTATTCGTGTCGTTTTTCCGCTGCTTAAATGTGTCAACTGTGTGAAGTTTGCACTCGAAGTGGTGTATCAGGGTGTGAATGTGTGCGTGCCGGCCTGTACGTACAGGCAAGCTGGTGTATCCTAATGTCACAGTATTTTGTTGATGAGAATCCGTCCGACTTTTTTTATAGGTCCATGACTCTAATAAATAACTTATTTTGTTATTTACAACAAACAATTTGTCATACAAAACGCCTCAAATTGAGAGTTCATTTTCCAAGTTTGAGGTCTTTTGTATCGACATTTAGTAAACGTTCGCAACTCAATCCAAGAGTTGAGTTTAGTTGCTGTTTGACTTCCTTACCTGATGTAAATACGAGGTTTTAACACGGAAAGCCTTTCTGAATTAGATTTAAGAGAACTCGCCTTCGTTGTAGAGTTAACCGGTGAAACTTCTTTTGAACTACGTGAATTTTAAGGATTTGAAGAAAGTTTGTTAGGGAGCACTGATTTAAAACTGTTTACCTTTTTGTCTGAGACTTTTTATTCAATGTTAAGTTAAATATCATTAAAACTTTACTATCGCCGCGCTTCTGCTAGATAAGTTTGGGAGTGAATAAATTGTTATTGAGTAGTCTTATAATATGTATCAATTCCTTAAATATACTCAGTTAATTATTAACNAGCAAGCAACATAAGTTTAATAACTTTACGGATATCATTGATTGTTTTACTGTCCAGTGTGTTTTTTGATTACATCTGTGAATACAGTTTGTTTCCTGTTCTCAAAAATTTTATAATCAGTTCACATTCAATGTTGCGACTTTGTTGCATATTTTTAGTATTTTGACGATCACCCGGCGATGATACGCAAGTACTACAACATTTCACTTCGCGATTAACGAGAGGTTTTGTCGCATCACTAGTTCACAGACTAAAAATATTTTTATGTCAGTTGGCCATATTTGATGACATTTCTGCTGATTTCTAAAAAATTAGACTGTATGTAGTACTAGTGCTTACTTTTATTTTTGTATAAGTACCTATTGAATTGTATTTACGCACACATAATATTCCAAGGAAGAGCGATGTCTCCTGGCACAGGCTTCTTTAAGCTTAAAAGGAGGCATCGATCACTATTGATTATAAGCAATTCCGCTGGTAATGAAATAAAGATTTTATTATTATTATTTATTATTACAAATGAAGCACAGAGTCCAGTTTTGTAATTTTGGACCTGGCAACTCTACATAGGGGTCACTTAAAAATTAGGGATTGATGGTGAAAACGGGCATAAAAGTCTTAAATATTACTTTGCTTGTGCCTATAACACTTACCCCTGGTAGAATTTGAGTGTGATGTACCTCTCTTAACTAGATGTCCTTTTTCTTTATGATTTCAGGAAGAAATGGACAAGCATCCATTTTTCATGAAAACAGTACCAGAGAATGGTGATATATCACCACTAGCCGAGGGGCTTGCAAAACTAAAATATGATCCTGAGGAAAATACACCCGTGGAACTGGCTACCAGTTACAAAGAGGACGGGAACTTCAATTTTAAACACAAGAATTATCGCTTAGCGATATTAGGGTAGGTTTGAACTATATTCTCTTAAAAACTAGTTTTAATGCTGGTCCTATATTTTCAAGATAGTGTTTTTCTTCTTTTTTTTTTTTTTTTGATGATTCTGCTTCATGGCAATCTGTTTTTTCAACAATAAGCCACTTCTTTGGTTGATTCCTCAGACTATGTTTTCTTCGAGAGCCATACTTGTGTGAAAATTCATTTCACACGACTCTCTTAATGTCAGGTGGTAAATCTTTTATGTAGGCTCGGTATGTCATTTCTCTTTAGCCGGGTGTAGGGTATGGAATACCGGAATAAGTTTTATACCGGTATTGATACCGGTATTGAAATTTCAATTACCGGTATACCGAAATTTCGGTATTTTTTCGGTATTTCTTGAGATACTGGTATTTACTGTTTAAATGTTTCCAAGAACGATTAGTAAGTCTCGTTTGCGAAAAGTTATTAATAGGCCAGTAGAATAAGACGTGAAAATTAATCAAATCGGAAATAATTCCTAAAGGTTTTGTTTTAATAGCTTCATTTGTTGCTCATTGACTATCCTAAGTTTTCGACTTCGACGGAGGTGTGGTGGGGCCCCCCCAAAGGGGCATTTTTCTTTCCGGTTTTATGGTTATACCGTATTAATAAAGGACTTGCAGTATAGAAAATTGATCTTCATGGCACGTGAAGGGCATTTAATCCTGCATTGAATAAGACGAAATTCATATATTTTAGACAAACCGTTTTCGTGCTTATCTTCGACAAAGTAAAAAATATGCGTATAATTAATGACCTTCTCTAAGTTCAATGGCTCGTCACCCGCTGGCTCCCAAGCCTTGAAAAGGGCCACCTTAACCAGCGTATTCCTGTCAAGGCTCGCGAGTTGGATTCGCCTATCCTTATTCATCCCAGCCGTTCCTTTACTACGGTTGCTGCGCCTCTTCCTTGCTCTCTCTTGAACGACTTTCGTGTTATCTACTGTGGCTGCCCCTCTTCCTTGCACCCTCCTGTACGACTGCGTTGCCTATTCTTATGCCTGGTCCAAGGTTCGACTCCAATAATCAACAACAACAGTTTCATATTAAAACGCTGAAGAGTTTGTTTGAATGCACTAATCTCAGTAACTGCTAGTTTGATTTCAATAATTATTTTTGTGTGGGATAGCTCGTAAATTGAGGAAGGCTATAGGATATTATACGATCACGCTACGTCTAATAGGGGCGAAGCAGTAAAGAAAAATGTTGCAAGCACGGGAAATAGTATTCAAACTATTTTCACGCGTACAAAGTTGATTTNAACTTTTTTGACCCTTAATTTCATTGAAATTACACTAGAGCTCAATAATACCTATATAACTTGTAAATTTTAATCAAAGCAAGAAAAACTATACTCCTTCCTAAATATAGTGAACATAATGAATAAAATAAAAATAAATGACACGTAAATTACATGCACAAAAAAAATTGACGTAGGGTAAACATCAGGCAAAATCAGGACATTTTTTTTACCACATGGCAAGCATTTTCGGAATGCATAGGTAGAACCTGTAAGATAATTTCTTTTTCAATTTAGGTGGACTAAAATGTACGTCTTTTTTGCAGCTGGTGCAATGACATCAGGCTGATTTGGCATGTCAGAGCCTAGAATACATGTCACTGTTTGCTTTACCACCCGTTTCGCGGTATTTTTTTACAGACTACCATCTTTTACATAATATTATGTTCAAATATCAATATATCATTAGGAAATGTCTTTTCCTAGGTTGTGGTGCCCCAGGATCCATCATTTTTACGAAAAATTAGTCGTCTAAAACAAAAACGCCAATTTCAGTATGGTACAAAAATGTCACGTAGTCTGCGACGTGCGGTCCCACAGACCGCTGTTGAACTTTAAATAGAAATATCTTATTAAAACTGCCCTCGTCGATGTAACCACTACCTGTAATGGCGTTTGGGCAACTAAACTCGAAGGTACTGAGACGCTCGGAACACGGGAGTAAGTAGAACATTGCAATCCAGAAATTTCAAAAACCGGAGCGGTCTGTGAGACCGCACCTCGTCGGTTAAAGGTTAAAGAAAGCTTTTATTGTTCTTCAACTGGTAGCAAAAAATTTCCTATGCATTAAAGGCAGATTTTTATAAGAAAGACATGAGTAAACATATTGTTTGTGTTTGTATTTGTTTAAAGCTTTCTGAATCAGTTGCATATTTCTCCTTAGTTGCTTGTGGGGGCGCATCCAAGATGATGGTAGAGACCATGCTCGAGTCCTCGCAGGACTTTGGTGAGTCTCCTGTCACATTTTATTGAAATTAGATATTATTATGGTCATTGTCGGCCGTTTGGTGTAGTGGTTCAGAACGGACTACTTTGCCGAGAGGTCCCGGGTTCGATTCCCGGCCGGGCAGAAATTGAAATGATGAATTTTAATTATTATTTCTGTGACGAGTCTGGGTGTTTTCTATGTATAATATGTATGTATTTACAAAAAAAAAGAAGTATTTAAGTATGTTTATCCCGTCGTCTATTACCCATAGTACAAGCTTTGCTTAGTTTGCGACTAGAGGCGCAGTGTAAAATGTCCAAGGATATTTATATTTGCCCTAACACTGTCAGGGGGTTTCATGATAACCAGTTATCAAGTTTAACTTTAAACCCAATCTTTATTTTTCAATTATAAATCATCAAACATTTTTATTCTTTACTGTTTGCACTATAATTCACTTTTTTATATTCATTGATGAAGGAAGGAAATGATAAAGCTATCTTTAGTTTCTCACAATATCACATTCAGAGAAAAATAAAACACTACTAATTGCTTGATACAAATTACTTACATAAACAAAGTTATCAGTAATAGAAAAGATAATAAACTGATTACAATTGAATTTAACTACATTTGTTAATTATGTTGTAAATATTTGAATTTATAAACACCAGACAAGATTAGTTTACTCATCTTAAATACAAAATCAAACTTCAGTTTTCCATCACACATCCCATTTTTACTCGAATTAAAGTTTATGCTCATCTTAGGCAGATTTTTTTATTTTGTATTAATAGTATTCTAAAATGTGCAATTATTGTCATTTCAACGTCAAATAAAACAAGAATCTCAATTGCTTGTTTTACACAGTTTACCAATCTAAATTCATAATAGCTTGTTAATGCCTGCTCACATGTCAGCCCTGTTTGAACAGCGTGCACTGCAAATGTTTAGATATCACATTTCACTTTAGTCATCAGAGTGGCAACCGTTTTCTCATTAGCAAATTTTCATGTCGGCGTTAATGAGGAACAGTTATTTCGTTTTGACACCGTTCGAGGCGGCAACATAGCCAGCGGACGGTCGTTTTAAAATCTTTCACTTTCCACTTTACATTTTCCAAGCATCAATGACCATCCGATTCCGCCCAGGCATGTCGAACGGCGCGCTACCACAATGGAAGCGGGAGCTGCTGCAGCGCCGCGCCGCGCGCTCCCGCCCCGCGCCGCCCGCGCCCGCGCCCGCCCCCGCGCCCGCCGCCGCGCCCGCCGCCCACGACGACGACGAGGAGCTCCCGACCCGGCGGCCGGCGCCGGCCGCGCGCGTTTCCGCCGTGCTGCGCGGGCTCGAGGCGCCCTCGCGCACGTCCACGCCGGAGCCGCGGGACCCGCAGCGGCCCGCGCCGCGCTCGCCCACGCCGCCGCTCGTGGACGCCGTCGCCCCGGCCCCCGACGAGCCCGAGGCGGCGGCGGCGGCGTCGACGGAGGCGCGGCCGGTGTCCCGCGCGGCGCTGGAGGGCATCGCGCGCGCCGGCTCGTCGATGCGCTTCGCGTTCGAGGCGCCGCGGCGCGGCTCGCACCTGCCGCCGCTGGCCGCCGCCAACCCGGTGCTGGTGGGGCGCGCGCGCCGCGTCGGCGTCATCCGCCCGATGCCCGCGCCCGCCGTGCGCTCGCCGGAGCCGCAGCCCGTCGTGGAGTTCGACCGGAAGGTCGCGTCGCCGCCGCCGACGCCGCGGCTCGCGTCCCCGCCGCCGGAGCCCGATCCGACGCCGCAGCCCCGGCCCGAGAGGAGGGAACCCCCGCCCGCGGCGATGGTGGAACCGATCCCGCGCTCCCCGCCCGAGACCGCGGACGTGATCCGCCCCGAATCCCCCGCGGACCGCGAGCCCGAGATCGTCGAAACGAGACCGAAGGCCGAGCGACCGCTGACCAACGGATTCGCCGAACCGAGGCCGATCCCCGAGGAGCCCGTGTCGCGTCTCGGCGGCGCCGACATCGAGCGCGCCTGGAACGGCTCCAGCGAGAAAAGAATGGAGCCCAGGGAGAAGAAGCCCGCGGAGACGAAGGAGGCGAGGGGCGGCGCGGCGCCGTGGGCGGGCGGCAGCCCCGGGCCCGCGCGCCGCCCGCGCGCGCCGCCGCCCGCCGCCACCTCCATCGTGTTCAACTTCTCCGACCGCAAGGAGGTGCCCGACTACATCGAGAACGACGGAATCATCCTCCGCGGCAGCCGGAGGAACAAAATCAAGGTGAGTCTTTAAAACTACATAATTGCTCCGGTTTACAACGGCCGGGCCGCCCGAACGACGGCGCGCGACGGTGCGTGGTCACGCTCTGAATGCGCGCGAGCATCGATTGTGCAATTCGGGTGCCATCGTTCTCAGTTTTTGTCCACGTCCCGCATAGATCACGCCGCGATACGCCGCGCGGAGGCTGCTCGCGAGATGCGCCTGCGCCGGTCGCGGTTCGCCGCTGCTCGGGTATGCGCGCGGGCTTCCTTCCGACCTTACTTTGATGTTACGTATCTATCTCCTATCATTTACTATCTCCTGTCATTTATTAAGATTATATTAATTATCCTGTAAATTGTTTCATATTACATTGAAGATTAGGCACTGGCACACATCAACATCACCTTAAAGAATTTTAAAGGTCAACTTTCCCCTTGATAATTTTTTTTTCTTTGTATTCATTCAAACTATAAAGACAATTTAATGACGAGCTGAACTTGTTAGATAAGCGTCATTTACATGCCGCCGCGCGCCTGCTTAGCACTTCCTAGGAACAAAAGACAGAATAGCATCCGAGATGCCGAAGCTCGAACGTTTGCGTAATAATTAGCATTCTTCTCTCGTCAATAGTCGTCCGATGCTACCGTTTAATATTTTTAACGTTCTAAATGCTTGGGTAATTATGATAGCTGTCAGATTGTAGCCACTATAAACTTATTTTTAAGCCTTAAGAATTGATTGAACCTGATGGATGAAATTGATGGACTCGTTTAAAAGCGACGTAATCTACTCAGCTCATGTTTGTACCATATTTTGGAGGTGGTTTTGTTGATATTAATCTATCACTTCTACAATCTGGTTCCCTTGCGATCCCGCGATGCAATTTGCCACCTGACCGCGCGCTGCAGCTGACGCGCACTGCGTAACCGGACCGCTTAGGAAGATAGATACTGTCGAATTTACTGCGTGATTGCCCTTCTGACATTTAGAGTGAATCGCCAAGAGCCAGCTGACCGCAAAGCTTTCACGGCATGGTCAAGCAGAAATAATTACCTATCAATCAAGGTACAAAAGGAAGAATCTGGTGAAATGACATCGTGCTATTTGCTAGTTCAATTAGAAATACTCTCTAAATTACTTAATGCTGCATCTGTTTTCTTAACATAATCATTACATTATTTTTAAACATGTTTGGTCTAATATTTTGTATACTATTTCTAAACAAAAATTCCGATTGGAAATACTTTTACTTTTGCGTCGTCACTCTTAACTTTTATTACATGAACCATTAATTAACCGTGTAGGCAGTCCCAATAGGCCGCAGCACTCGGCACGATTCCGCTTTCCACCTGCCGCGAGAATCGATTCGTGAAATGATCGGTTGCGTAACGCTATGCAAATAAAAACATTTTCTACCAAACGGTGAAAGTGGATGCGTGCGACGCGCTGGGTCGGCGGTGAAACCCGTGACCTCCGCGGACCACTCTCGGTTTCGGCAGCACCTGCTCTGCGATGCCGGTGCTGGGAGCTAATCAAAGGGCCTATTCGCGTTATCACATCGTAATCGTATACAGTTTTGTTACGTGCATACTGCACAGATCTGTCCAACTGACCCACGCTAAGTGAAGCGGCAAGTTCGCGATCGCGACCGTGAGCCGGTGTCGTATATCCCAACGTTAACATTGATATACTTACCTATGTGTAAGTAAAATTAGATAGACTTAAAATCATCTCGTATGAACACAAAAAAGTCAAGCAGTCCCAAGATCGAGACAAATACAATAAATAAATAAATAAAACTGTCTAGTGTGACGAGTTTGACCCGTTGCACAAGCTTTATAATAATTATTCGACGACGACTCGTTTATGCTAATAAATGTCAATTTCGTCATCTTTTAAATGTGCAATTTTATTTGCATAATCAAAATATTAAACACTAATGGCTAAGTAGGTAAAAAAGTTGATATTCGAGTAAGTCGATCGTCAGACGTAATCGATGCATTTCACGATGAATTACATGCGTTATATCGGCATGCGCTAATTGCGCGCGCGCACTTGAACACGACAGACCAGAAGCAATTGGCCGTAATTGCTTTAATGCCAAGGCTACGCGAACCTGAATATCTATTTCCTTCTAATTAAAACCCGAATTTATCGATACTTACCGATAAATATGATAAAATTAAATTATTATAAGCACACCTGACCTGATACAGCTAACAATTCAATTTATTGATACAACTGTTCTATTTACTGTCCATTCTCAGCTACAAAGCAAAATTCTTGACCTCCAAATGTCCCAGAACCTTACTTCCTTTAAAATTTTAATTGAAATTAAACTAGATTATTTTGCCCGCAGCTTCGCTTATATCAGTTTGACACAGAAAGACTATCAGACGCATCTACCTTTCAAAAACCGGGATAAAAACTGTCCTACAATTTTCTTCTTGACAAATTGTATTGAACTGAACCTCCCTCATGAATCACTCTCATCATCATTATCTCAGCCCAGACCGTCCACTGCTGAACATAAGCTTCCCCCACTCCATCTACATATTGGTAAAAACTACATGAAATTCCGGTCAGTGGTTTTTAAGTTCATCGCAACAGACAAATGCAGCCAATGATTTTGTTTTAAAATATTTAAAAATTCGAAAACCGTGTACAATTTAACTAAGGAAACAAACTTTATTATTTTTGATCCAAAATATTAATATTAAAGGTGTAAATTAACGTTGAATGTTCCGCTTCAGCTTGCACGCGGGCGGGGTGACAGTCCTCGGGCCTGGCTCAGGTTAATTTCATGAACAAACAAAATAAATACATTATTTTTTTTTATTGGGTACATGTAATGGTATATAGTGTAGAGTAGAGAATTTTCAATCCTGTAATTATTTAAGTAAGGCAGTTACTACGTAAGTCAAAATTCTTTAGATACAATTACATGAATTCTGTATATAATATACATATTGTAAATTGGTAATTTGTGTCGCACGATTGCATGTTCAACACCAATGAATTGTCCAAAAATGGGCTATTTGAAGCGAGGACGGCCAACTGCTCAATCTATATCTATATATATGTCGGCGCGCGGTGCGCAATAAATTAAATAACTTAATGTTATAGTTCTCACAACACTTTGAATGTGTTAGCTAGTTTATTGCTATGGAATTTTAAGCAGCGCCAAAGCTCTTATGGTCAGAGTTAAGTGCGCGCCTGGGAACGAAGGTGACATAAATCTCCCTGTTGCCTGACGTAGTTGTGGACCCGTTCAAGTGCAGTATTGATGGATTAATAGCTTTACAAAAACTTCAGGTACAGAGCCCTGAAACGTAGATATTCTGGGACTCAGTCTTAGAGTCATTGCACATTCGGGTTTTGGACGTGGTGCTGACTGGGCGTGGTTCACAAATTCGTCAATCGCTCCCAATTTATTAAGTCTAGGCGTCTCTAGCTTTGTTAAAGTAATTCAGTAACTTTGATCTTTCTGTTAATTTAACTGTGGACAATATTGATTAAATTACGAACCAGTCTTTACATTCTAGTCTAGTAAAGTTAGTCGTTTATAATCAGTGATTATAATTAGTGTTAGTATCCACTCGCACGTGTTCCCTATACGCCCACATAGGTAGATAGTATGAATTCAATGAGAGACCCTTCTGGTGCCGTCCGAGAGCCCGACGCTCCGACATATATATATATATAAAAGAAAGTCGTGTTAGTTACTCCACTTATAACTCAAGAACGGCTAAACCGATTTAGCTGAAAATTGTCAGGGAGGTAGTTTAGAGCCAGGAGAAGGACATAGGATACATTTTATCCCGTTCGAAATTAAAAAAAAAAGTCTGCTTATTTATTGCCATTAAGGCGGAACAAAGTTCGCCGGGTCAGCTAGTAAGTACTATACACCGATCGCGCATTGTCCGCTCCGGCTCAGACGGCATTAACTCCACTGCTCACAGTGTAAGCACGTGGAATAGCTTCACTCCGTTATAAAAAAATCTAGCAGACGAGCTATAATGGTCTAAGGATATGTTTTCATTGGTCGAGAACGCGAGCAATCCATCCACAGTAGCAGTCCTTTGCAGTCAGGTTCACTTAAGAATACTCCAGCCCCAGTTCTACTGTTTACCTATCCTCTTCATTGCATAAACATTTTTAGCAGCTGAAATTTTGATACGGGCACACTGCAGCTTCTCTACAGCTTTTACATGTTAAGTGATTTTGGAGACGCAACTTACTATCATTTCCTTGCTCTTCGCTCTGCTTGCGTATTCATACTCATTTGTATAACTGGCATTAAGTTTCTAACGTGTCGTTGAATCTTGTTAAAGTGCTTTGGCTCACGTACAGCTTTTGAAATGATAGGTTTATTATAGAAAGCTTGTAAGCAAATCTTACTGAAAAGCGCGACAGAATAGAAATAGGTACCACACTTGAACAATCGCTTAAAGCTATCGCTATCGCAATCGCTAAAGCGAATATTTAGGGCTAGAGGCGTCTTACGTAAGTAATTTTCCCCAAAAATAAAATTATACGGTATAACTCTGTTATCTGTAACGGTATCTACTTTCATGTCTTCAGTAAATTTTGAGTGATTTCCAGTTGTCTCCATTGTTTGCGCAAATGACATTCCAATAAGTTTTGTCGGCAAATAAATAATTCAATTTATTTGTTTACTCAATAAATTCCAGTTAATATCAGTGGTAATGTGGGTTATTGTTTGCCGTTTCCTTGGTGACTAATTGCATATTAATTAATCGTACCCCGCAAGCGCAAGCGCGCACAAATCAACGTCCATTACATATCAACATGTACATTGTCTGAGCAATTAGTATTATCGACATATTTATTTATTGCTGCAATACTTCTTGGGGCTACTTGCGACTTCGTTTAATCAAAAATATGTTATCAAACCACGTGAGAGTGTGATAAGTGACATTTATTATTTAAGAAGGCTTTGTCGATTAATCCCTTGTGGATTAGAATTGTTTTTATTTTTAATATTGAATATTTGTTCCAAACTTTTATTCGTAAAAATCTACTCCTTCCAATGTTATGTAGGTACTCTACTTACTTCAATACCCATATAAAGTTTCCCGTTTGTCCACCTTTCCATGGACTCTGATCATGTTTTCTATTTTTCTCTGAAACCATTTAGAGTAAGGCAAAAAGCAATAGGAAACCTAGACCCCGTTTAAGTCCAAGATACTGTAGCTTAGACGTCTTGAGCGATTCACACTGACAATCTGGAGAAAATGTTTATAAAAATAGGTCTAGGTGCGTGGACCACTCTGCTAAACAAAGATGGTTAATAACACAGAAC